GATCTTTCTTGGGCCCTCCCCGTTTGTATTTTTTTTTTTTTTTTTTTCTTAAATATTATTTACAAGAAAAAAAATATTATTTACAAGAAAACGTGTGCGTACCGCTCTTTTCAGATATGGCACTTCGTAATCGGTCGATTTTACTGTCATTTTGTCGGTGACTCTCCTCAACGCCGAGATACACAACACTTCACTTTCACTGTTCGACTCGCGATAGACGAAAAATAAAGAAAAAAAATTGCATATGCCGCGTCAGATCGCTTGTCTCCGACACCGACTTTAGTTGTCGTTCTCCAGTGTCTCGGAACACGTGCTAAAGACTGCTGGGTCGGTCCCCCCGCCGTACGTTCTTATACTAGGAGACTCCGCGACGCACACACACACACCCGCGAGCACATGTGTGATGCAAGAACGTGCGTTTCTATCCGGAAGGTGTATGTAAACGCGTATCTCTATCCAAGTATGTACATGCGCGCGCGTTTAATATGGCGCTCCAATGTTACGCGGCGAATTTTTTTTTTTTGCTGGATGTACATAGTGCAAACATGTACATACACGCGCACATCATTTCCATGGAGAACTGATACTTCGTTCGAGTTACGCGCAGGGACTTTGTGTGCCGAGCAAGCAAAGGCGTAAGCAGCACATATAAGTATTTTGTTAATATAAATCTACTCTCGTAGGTAGTTTGATCGAGAGAAAAGGATCAATCTGTAATAATTCTCCGAATCTTAGAGAATCAATTATTTAATCTCATAAAGGCGTGAATTTTACTCTTCAAATTATTAATTCATTTATTATAAATTAATTAATTTTTGTGGGCTGTTATTTATTTAGATCAATCTTTGATGTCTCATAAAAACATTAATCACTTGTATTATCTGTCTCATTAATAACATCCAAGAAAAACGCGCATATGTCGCCGACGCGAGATACACGCGTATATCAAATTATACGGTATAAATAATTTATTCTCGCACAAAAAAAAATGTCATGCCGATGTTAATTCGCGCGCGGAAAATGTAGGAATTGCAGGGTCATAATAGAACGACGAGAATAGCAAATGAAGCGCATCATCATCATAATGTCCACAGGCGTGTGTTTACATATACATAGAAAATAGCTCGCATAAATATTTATCGGCACATTTTTCGACAATATCCCCGCGTGTCTTCTTTTGACGTCGGCAGGTCCGATAGCCGAGTGTACTTTGTACGCGAAAATATGGTAATAATTCACGGCGCATCTATTACATCGACGATTTCTTACCACTTGTACTATGCACTGGTGCGATAATAATTCATGAGAAATTCTACATATTTGTGTGCGCATCTCGCGAACTTTAGACTCTTCTAAAAAAGAAAAAAAAAAAGAAAAAGAAAGAAATATAAATATCGTTATCGACAATCTCTATATTTGTATTTGCTCTTTAACCGCGTCATCTATTTATTCCTATTTCCCATATTCTTCTTCAAAGGTCTCCGAGGGTACGTTTATTCCATTCTCAATAAAGAAAGTATTTTGTAAACAAAACAAACTGTAGCTTTCCATTTTATCGTCGAACTTTTCCAACCCTCATCTGCATAAGATAATTCGATTCGAGTAAAATTGACATAAGAACGAGATCAGATCTCTCCTCTCTCGCAAGTTTTAAAATATTTGATTTCTGCACACGTGCTACACATTTGCGATGTATTGATTATTGGATTTCGCGCGATGGATAAGTAACAATGTTTCTGTACAATATTACACTATGTACCGAGAAAGACAAATTACTTCGCGCGTTATCTCGTGCTTTTTATGCGCCAATGCAAATGAGAAACCCAAAGTTTGCGCAACGTCTCCGAGTCTCGTGATGCATAGCCCGTCGTTTGGTGCTTCTTCTGTAAAAAAAAAAAAGGAACACGCTCTATCGCGATAAAAGGAGTTGTTGAACTACACAGAATCAGCTGTTTCATACGTTATGCACACGTTGTTCTCCTCGATCGATTCGGAATATTACTTCGAATGACACAACAGAATCGTATTAATAACAATGAGGAGTAGTACAATACATTTGAGGCGATGTTCGCAAGTAGAAACGACTTCTTGAAAATGTAGAAAGAAAAAAAGAAGCGTTACGTAAAGGAGCACTTATAGTGTGAATATGAATTTCAACGGCTCGTTGCTAAACATCCATTATTAATGTAGACGGAAACGATACGATGTTCTCGATTAAAATTGCATACGAATCAGTAGATAGATGTGTTGAAACGTGTTCATTCACAATAACAAGAACAAGTTAAAACGAAAGTAATACCTATTTATATGTCATGGAATATTTAATCATCCCGAAATCAGGAATTACTTTTAAAAATCTGGCCAAACGTGAAATAAAAAGAGTTAAATATATTTAATTCTTTCTATTATATTTTAATATATTTTAATTATACATTTATTTTAAATTTTCTCTCCCTCTTTTCGTTAGATTAAAAATGATAGATAGAAATAGAAATATTAAATAATTGATAAAAAAATCTCTGAATTTGCAAGGAGATTGAAAATCTATAATGTGGAATGACGAAAAAAAAAAATTATTATTGATCCAATCGACTTTAATTCATTAATTTTTTGCGAGGACGAAAAACAAGGTCATGCCATGCGTTCGCAAAACGAAAAAGAAACATGCTTAGTCAAGCTGAAAATGTAAATAGCGAACGTTCCTTCATGTTTTCCTTCGTATCTATTTCTTCACTGTGATATTCATTAACTGGCGTATATCATGAACTTGATACAGAAGCATGATCAACCGAGATTATCAATGCTAAAGAGAGAAGCTTATACCGACGTAAGGTCGCTATTAGATACTTCGCGTTAAGGACGTTAATTACCACGTTACATAAAAAAATGTAAATATACAGAAAAAAAAGAAGTTTGACGTATCACGGTGACTCATCGAAAAGTGAGATAATTTTTATGATATATAAAAATGTGGAGAAAGTAGAATATGAAATATTGCGGGCGATTAACGAAGAGGAAGAGATCTCGCACGGTTTAATTAATCAAGCCTTTACTGATGACCGAATAAATAACGTAATATTCGTTCTCATCTAATGTAAGTTTAATTTCGGTTCTCTAATGGTATCTTAATGCCGTAGTTATAAACGTGGTTAATGTTAAAAATTGATAGATTGCTACCCGCATGTACCCGCGCTTTCGTTCAAAGAAGTTGACTTGGCTCAATCAAGGTACAATCCCCAGAGCCAATTGGTGAAATCGCGTTGTATTACTGGAACACTGAGCGATATTGATCGCACGCAAGGCACAGACAACACGGATAAAGCGATTTAGCTCACGGTCGGCGAATGCACGGTCGTGAAACCTTGGATACGATATAAATTCACATTTCCGCGTTATCTTCCATTGTCCTCTGATTTTCTCTTGAACTTTTCTACATTAGAGATTGGAATTTATCTTGAAGTCATTACACTTTATCTAAGAATGAAGTCCCCGTAAATCTCTTTTAATTCATTTATCTTTTATACAGCGTATTATAAACGAATCGTCTCTCTCTCTTTTTTATTGCAAAATTCATGAGAAGTTTCCCATCTAAGGACAGAACGACGTCCTTGCAGAAAAATAAACGAATTAAGATAGACTGACATAAGAATCTATTTTGCAAAATTGAAATTCTAATCCGGGGCAAGATACGCGGTGGAAGATAGCTTTCAAACTCTTGTATTTTTTCACGATGATTAAAATGTATGTTCTCTAGAGGAGACCAAAAATTTTGAATTTAATTGCAAAGCTTCATAAAAAAAGAAGAAAATGCGGTTTTCAATATTTTTCGAGATTAGTCCTGCGCTAAAGGATACCGGATCGCTCATGACCCATATCTTAAAAATATTTAATAATTCATGCGATAATCAAAATTTAATATGTGCATTATATAAAAATATCAATAATTTTTATTTTAAAAATATTTTTCATTCTTTTTTAATTATATTATATACGATCAGT